TTTCTAGAGTTATCTAGTAGGTAGTAAGTGTATACTAGTATCTAGAACCTTCCTAAGAGGCCTATAAATAGGTGTGAAGCTCATTTGCTCCAAACCATCCAAGAAAGCCTCAAAGAGAGCAAAGTGTGTAGTAGTCTCACAAAGTGTAAGGTCTTCTTAAGTGTCTTAATAAAAGTCTTTTTGTTTCCCATACAAAGAGTCGTGTTCAACAGGAACTTGGTATGGATAACACCAAAGATTCTACTTCTGAGAAAGTTGGCTTGAAGAAACCAAAAGAGACACTAGGTAACATTCATTTTTACTTTAATGTTGAAAGAAACTTGTTTGGGTTTAATGATGAAGAAAGAAATGACTCTGTAAGTGCGCCTTAGCTGGGGGGTACAAATGGCGCAATATAAGTTTTTTACAAAGATGTTCATGTGGAGCAATTCTAATAATCAATCAAATTAAAGTTCAAACTGCTAACATGCTCAACATTCCTAAATTTCACTGTTGGAAATAATGATATTTCAGGTATTTATGTAGATGGATTTGATCTGGGAGAAGGAGGTGCTTTGTGGGATGTGTTTAGGAGGGAAGATACTCCTAAACTGCAGGAATATCTCAAAAAACACTTCAAAGAGTTTAAAGATGACTTTGGTCGTCCACTGCAGGAGGTAATTCTTATTTTTGGTTAATGTTTACTACTAGGAGTTATGTGTTTAGTTCTCAAGATTTAGAAAAAATTCAAGCTTTCATGGTTGGTTATTATTGCGAAGTTAAATATTTTTTCTTCTATTGTATACGACAATAAAAAATTTCACAAACTATCATTGTGATGCATAAGCTATGAATCAGATATTTTATAAGTCGAAAAGATAAGTCTTTTATTAGAAATTCTTTTATGTGTAGTGTCAGAATCCTAAATGATAATTTTTTAAATTCTTTCATTCTATGTTTTTTGGTCCAGGTTATCCACCCAATTCATGATCAAACATTTTACTTAACCATGGACCATAAAAGGAAGCTCAAGGAGGAGTTTGGTTAGTATGCATTTGCAAGGCGTGTTATGTATCAACTTTCACTGATATTGGATTTTATGATTGTGCTCATTTTATTTTTGGTTATGATCAGGAATTGAAGCATGGAGTTTTGTCCAAAAGCTTGGAGATGCTGTCTTTATACCTGCTGGTTGTGCTTATCAAGTTAGAAATCTAAAGGTTAATAAGTTATCACTAGTTTTTATATCCCTTTTCAGTGCATAGATTAGTTTCACTTGATAGCTTTGTTTTATTAAACTGGTCTCTGAATTTTATGTGTTATGTTAAGTGCATAAATCTTTTTTATTTTTGTTTTTGCAGTCATGTATAAAAGTTGCAGTGAACTTTGTTTCTCCTGAAAACATTGGTGAATGCATTCGGTTGACAGAAGATTTCCGCCTTCTTCCCAAAAATGATTGGGCAAAAGAAGATACGTTGGAGGTAAAGATTCTCTTCTTTATATCTTTTAAATATTAGATCTTCCATTAATCATTGGTTCCGAAATTGCACGTACCTTTTAACGAAAAAAATTATTGTTATTTTAATAATTTCGTTCTGCATTAATATTTTATATTTTATTTACTTACGAAAATTAATAAAACTGAAGTTAAGTTGTTGCTTGGTCATCACAACTCTTATGACTTCTACCCATTATAGAGCCTGTCCAACATATCTAATGTTGGTATGATGTTTTTCATGTATTTCTTTTCAGAATATATATGCTTTTGTGACTTTAATGTATGTGTGGCATCGTTTGGTACAATTTATAACATAATTTATAAACAACATAAGGGTCAATTAGGCTCCAATTATTATCAGTTTTACTAGTTTCAATTAATGCTGCTAATTACAGGTAAAGAAAATTGCACTTCATGCGTTGGAGGCAGCTGTGGAGGACTTGGAAAATTTGGTTCTCAAGTAAGTTTAAACATTTTCTTGGACTAATTTTATCTGCGACTGGTCATAAATAAAACAAAAAGGAAATTAACTGAAAAGTAAAGAAAAATATAAACAAAACACTGAACTAGTTGGGTTATTTGATTTACTTTCTAGATGGCATTTTCTTGTTGGTTGGTTTATATATTTTGTGATAAAACTTATATGGTTATAAGTTGGTTTTTTTAATACACCGTAATTTGTAATTTTTTTCTCTATTAATAGAGCCTAGTATTGGCATATTTTGATATACTGTAACAACTTTTCATTTGTCATCTATTTAGTTTCATATATTCTATGATGAATGTAACATAGCCAATATCTTATTGGTTGGTTTGTGTATTTTGTGATAAAACGTATTTCGTTATAAGTTGGTCTTTACTTTTATTTCAGAAAAACAAAATACACCGAAATTTGTAAATTTTTATCTATTAATAGAACCTAATATTCTCGTGTTTTTATATACTATCCCAGCTTTCATTTCTCATCTATTAAGTTTCATATATTCTACTATGGATCTAACATATCCAAATATTTTTGGAACCATCTTGAAAACTCTCAGGGTTTTCTAACTTTTAATCAAGTTCCAAGAACTCGATATTTTAAGAACCCTTAGTATCATGACTATTTTTTTTTTATCAAATATAATTCCCAACAATGACACGACTTGTTCTTGTGCCAAATATTATGAAGGTATGAAGAAAGTGGAGGCATTAGAAAAAGATCAAGGACTAGTGAAGAAGGTGTTCTTCTGTTTACTCCAACCAAAGAACACCAAAATGAACCAGTTTATTAGCTAGGTAGATTAGCATTGACACAACTTACATATTTTTGTGTTAAGGATTTGTTAATTACATGGGAAGATATTGGACTAGAGCATTAACGTCTTTTGAATAGACATGAGAGCACTAGTAAGTTGTATCTCTGTACAAGTCCAATGCACGTCTAACATAGTACAAAATCGGTTATGCAACAAATGTATTATTTACTTGTGCACTTATTGTGGCACATATCTTTGTTGTGTGCTTGGGCATGTGTATGTGCTTTTACATGCTTCTATTTCATATCATGATACCGTGTCTTTGTTGAGCATGTTTATATCATGTTAGAATAATAGGACTGTGATGGTGAGAGTTTTTGGACCAGAGTTTTTGGTTTTTGATTTAGATATACAATAACATCACGATCTAGTTTATTCAAGGTATGACTTTATATTCTTTTGGGCAAGAGACTTACGCTTTGTGAGTTTTTAGGATCTTAGGCCACCTAACTTATACTCCAATATCTTTTCCAATATCTTTTTGTGGTTGTTATTTAGATATGTAATGGCATCTTGATTGAGATCACCATTGTCCTTCAATAACCAACCATGCTCTATGATCAACATTAGGGTAGATGTGTATCATGGCTACTTCTAACATGTATCATGAGATAACACGGCCATCTGGCGTCCCAAGTCCCAATTGCTTTTTTAAGTGATTCAATACGGGTCTAACTGATTTCAATTTCTGTTAAATCGGTTTTGTAGAATCGGTTTTCGTTTTAAGCTATAAAAAACTTTTTTTAACTCAAGTTTAATCATTCCAAGATATTACTTGTAATACATAATATTAACGTTGTTTGAATTTAGAAATACATGAAACGAAACGTAGTTGGAAAAAAAATAATAATTGGAATTATAGTGTTCGAATAATTTGAACTTTGAAAAAAAATACTTAGAAACAAAGCATAGTTAAAACTACAAATTACATAAAAACATAAGCGTCAAAATTTAAAATAATACTTCCTCCGTCCCAAAATTATTGTCCACAGACAAAAAACACAAAGATTAAGGAAACATTAATTACCACTAACTTTATATAATAAAATGACAGTTTTGTCCTTACTTTGCATTTAATGTTCTATTAAATGTTTAGTTTGTTAAGTAATAATAAGGGAGTATTTTGGTAAAAATGTTATTTATTTTTATAAGTAGACTATTATTTTGAGTCAAACCAAAAATGAAAGATAGGACTGTAATTTTGGGACGGAGGGAGTAGAAATTATAGCTAACCAAATGGTAGTCTTCGTCAAATCCAACAACTAGAGGTCCAATCCTTCTTCCTGTTGAAAATAACCGATAACTATTAAAAAGAACCCTCGCGTTTCTTTTTCTTCACTCTGCAGACGAAACCCTTGCTTCTTTCCTATTATCTCTGTTTTGAAGATCGACATCAACAATAGAAGCTATAAAGCAAGTATTTATTTCTTAATTATATTGGTTCGTAGTTTCTTCCTTGTATAGTATCGCTGATGCCTGATTGTATATTGACCAAAGTAGTCAGATTCTCTGATGTTTATATTGTACCGTACAAGTACTAACTGCTTCACAGTGGTAAATTAAGAGCCTCGTGTGTTCGTCTTGAGTGAGACGATTTTGTTTCTCTTGAATGTCAATAAGACTATGTAAACTTGGGATTGATCAATTTCAATTTTATATGATTCTGGTTTTTTAGCTTCTCTTTTCCCATAATTAGATTAAATTAGTTTCTTTTATCAAAAGCTTGGCATATAAAGTAGTTTTTGATAGTTTGTTTGATTTTCTAGCCATTGATTCAATTTCGTATGTTAGTACATCTACAGTTTCCAAGTACTACGCATTCCATTCATCCATGATTGCTAATTTCCAATCTGTATATATAAGCACTATTATCTAAGGTGAATTGTCTGTAAGATAAGTATAATCTGTATGATCTAGGGTGAAACCAGTCTAATTGATATCTATTTTTTCAGGTATTTTATGTGGAAGTTGCATATACCAATGCTGCGGATGTTTAATTTAGTTTTGTAAATGTAGGATTAATGGGTAAGACAAGGAGTATGAATAGAAAGAAAAAGCATGATTTTGCATATGGTATGGACAGGATCAAGAATTGGTCAGATCTTCACCATGATGTGCTTATTTTGGTTATGATGCAACTTGGAGGTGTTGATTTTCTTGCATTCAGTGGAGTTTGTAAGTCATGGAGATCACTTGCAGTTTCTAATAGGAACAAGTTTATGGTGTCCAGACCACCCATGTCCATATTTGTCTCTATCGTTGCTAATGAGGATGAGTACTATTTAGAGGATTTTGAAGGAAGAAAGTTCAAAATCAGCCTTCCCCATTTTGCTGCTGGCATGAGCTGTATTGGGGTAACTGGTGGTTACTTGATTTTGATCAATCAGAAAACCTACGACTGCTGGCTTGTGAATCTTATTAAAAGGCATGGACTTCATTTCCCTAATGCCCACTTTAGAATCTTTTGTTGCCATGGATTTTTCAGGTCTACCCTTGTCTTTTCATCTTCAATATCTGAGTGGGTGTTTGTAGTGTTGAATATATCCCAGGAAAAAATATGGTTTTGTATAGCAGGCAAACCAGAATGGACCGAAATCTCCACTCCTTTCAACATCGTTAATTTTCATGGTTTCAAGGGGAAGATATATGCCCTGATACACTCTCAATCGCATGGAGTCAGGCTATATGGAATGGAACTCTTTCCAAAGCTTAAACTGGTGTTACTCAAAACCGAGAATTTTACGACTCCAGATTTCGGATCTCCGAGGTTTGTCAATTCTGGTGAAAACCTTTATTTGATAGATCAGGTTTTAAAACATCCATTCAAGATTCATGAACTAGATTTTGGCGAAGTGAATTTGGTGTCACGTGAAAAGACAATAGAAAAATATGCATTCTTTCGTGACACCTTCATGGATACTATTACACTACGAGAGGTGTGGGCTGACATTGATTCACAATACAGGAAATATGTTGTTCATGATGAAAAGGGAAAGGGGAGGTTGTTTTATGCATGCATGTGGTATTTCTTCAATGATTGTTTGACTTGTCAGCATGTTTATATTTAACTATATGATAGAGACATATCTTAGAACATCATTGTAAAGGCTTTTGACAACCACCATCTTGGAACTTATTTCTTACATGGTTTGGTTTTTACTTTACTGTCACTTTTACTTTTATCTCAGTTTATATTCTATCTAGTTTTCTTTTGTGATAAAAGCATTGGCATGATGTTGTGTTGTGGATGGAATCTTGCTGAATATTCCAAACTCACATGTTTCCCACAATGTTTTTTCTCTCAGGAAAACCAGATGAATGCTAGTGTCTGAATCCCCATCATAACCCATGGAAGAGCCATGGGATTTTTGGGGATATCTAATCGCTTTTTAGGAATCAAATCCAAAATGTACGTACATGATTTTGATGTCATTATTTATTTGAATTGTATGTTATATAAGAAGATAAGAGATTGTTTTCCATGCACCTATATAGAATATAATTTCACATCATTCAACAATCTGACGTTTTACTTTTTTTATAGAACTCTTTAATTTTAAACATCAAACAAAAAAGTGTATTTGTTGGTTTTCAATTCTGAGTAATATATAATGTTGAGGAGTCCTCTTTGTTTTAGCTCAAGACTTGATATATGTTTGGACCGACCCTAAGAACATCTTAGATATTCAATCATCCTCACCACCATGTAAGAGCAACAATAAAATCAGGGTTGATTCAAATGACAATGTAGCTTGTCAATTTGGGAACATTGAGTGGATTAAACATAATATATCACATACCATGTATGCTCACTTCCATGCACCTATGGGGAACACACCAAATTTTCTATCATACCAATTATCATATAGTGACAATGGGAGCTAGCACGTCATGGCCTTCCAATGCAGTCAATATTGGTGATGCGGGGACAAGTATTGAATTTTTTTTAACAGAAAGAAGAGCAAAATACATTAGAAATGGCCTAGCGAGAGGATAGAGGTACATCAAAAGGAAACACTCGTGAATGGGGTTTACACACCAGTTATGCCAATTCAATAACAACCCACCATTCCCTCTAATCTTAATCCACTGGAAACTGACCTGCCAAAATCTTGCCATTTTTTCAAATTGAGTTTTACACGCAACTGCTCTTGTGATTATACATAATCCAAAGATATACAAGAATTGAATTTAAAACAAAGTGAGTATATGATATGCCATATGACCAAGCTGTAACATCTATCTTTTTCTAATGATGAAAATGTAGTAAGTGTTGTGTTTTAGATTATTCTTAGTGATCATTAAACTAAAAATGTAACTAAAAGTGGGAAGAATGAAGAGATTGAAAGGAAAATGATCATGATAGAGTTAAATCTTTAAATATGATGTCGAAATGAAATTTTAACTTGTATTTTAGAAGACGAATTTAGAACAAGAGATGGAATGGAATGAGAACCATAAAACATGAATGTAAACTTATAATATAGACTAGATTGTGTGAAAACAACCACAAAATGCAAGAGAATAAAGAAGTGTAAAGCACATTGCTATAAGTACAAAATGTGGGACAAAATGAAGTAAGCATAAATGAGTGAATATGTAGTGAAATCCAAGCTTGCAAGCGAGTTAGAATCTATGCAAGAACGGAAAGTAGCTTATTTAAATCTAAGCTTGCAAGTGAGTTAGAATTGGTATTTTCGTTATGTATATACAAGTTTTTGTTGTTTCGAAGTTATTATAACGTTTGTAAAGGATGACAAACATTGGTGTTGAAATATTTGGCCAAAAGATGAAAAGGTTAGCTGAACGAAAAAAAAAAAAAAAAAGACAGTGGCTTTTGTGCAGACTATCAGTCTAAGTGACTGTTGTTCGGTCTAAGTTAGATGCAGCTAGAAAAAATGATTGGTTGCTGCTACTATATATTATTGAAAGTGCCACTTATTTTCTATTGCTGATCTGAGAGATATACTGGATCCAAACTCGTCTCAACTTGGTTAGACTTGCTTAACTTTTCTATTTCTGATCTAGTTGTGGGTAATATCGGTGGGGTGGGGCAATGGTTGGAGACGATGAAAGGTGTGAAATTTATTCGTTTTGTTTTAAATATATAAAGAATGGTAACTGGCCATATACTACTATTCGTGCAAGTATTACTTCCATCCGGTTAATCCGCACAATAAATCTTCCTCTCAATAACGTAGTTTATGGGGAATTCAATTATAAGAATCATAACATTCCCTAACTATGTCTAATAGTTGTCTAACCTATTTCCGTAAGGTATGGTCAACTTATATTTCTCTTTTCTGCTCACCAATTTCGTTTGAATCTACTATGAAACACCTAACTCGCTTAAACCACGAATCAGATGCCAACTTGTAACACCCGACAAATTAATACAAAGTACACCAAAAAAATCATTTTTTTGGTTTAGACACAACTTGGTATGCGTTTATATTAACTAGTAGTAATCAAATGGATCATATATGAAGATCCGAGTCGGACGTTACCATTCATCCAATGATCCTTGTATATCTCAGCTACTAATTTTATACTACAATATTCATCTATATATCTCAACTATACCAACTTACTACACCATGCATCAATAACAAGCTAAAATTCTTAGATGTTCAAACTCAATATATTATATAACAAGAATCAGCTATAGTTTCATATATACGAGCTTATCCTCTCCAATCAACAATAACCAGTAATAGTTTCAGCAACACAAACTTATCATATCATTCAACGATGATTAGTAATGGTTTCTTTCACATAATTCTACTACAATCATGTTTTGGTCAAAAATCAATCAAAAGGATATCAACCCAATTGTATGAGATGTTGTGGTGTTGTGACTAATCTGGATATAGAATTGAGATTAAAATGACACAAGTGGTTTACAAGGAAAACTTTTGATCCTTGCTAGGATCTCTGACATAAAAACTTGGGAGGTGATAATAATCATATGCCTTGTTTTATCTTATTAATCAAACTGCAAGTTACAGAAAAGAATTTGAGAATACGAGTACAAGTGTTTCAGTAGCTCTAGACGTGTGTGTAGTGTGGATTATACGTGTGTATTTATAGTCTAATATGAATAACTAGAAGTCTGTTATTTTCGAAATCCTCTTGAATAAGTATACGCACGTTGTTTTTACATGGTATTTCCGGGTCTTAAGGTTGTTTGAAGTGATTCTCTAGAATAGATGAGTCTTTTGTTGACTATTTATGCACAAGTGAAGAATAAACAAGAAATATAACCTTTAATCTTGTTAGGAAATAATGATAATGATCAGGATCCTAGTGTATGTTTTGGGATCCTGAGATTCTTTTAAGATTTAGGATCCTTAATAGGGTTGAGGATCTTGACCCCTAACAATTGCCCCTAAATTGTACCTGCAAAATATTTTGGATTAATTCCGAATATTTGAAAGAGTATAATTTTATCATATAATTAAATTAAAATAAGGATTCCGAAATTCAAACTCTAACGGATAGAATTCTAGCCGTTAACTTAGGCATGATTATCTATCAAATCACTTCTCTTTCCTCTCTGTGATCTTCGAATAAATAGGGCGCCTGGGTTCCCAATTCTTCTTTACTTCTTCTAGCTTTCTTTCAGACGTTGTTGGTTATCTTGAAGGTAAACCTCTTGCTTCTTTCTTCTTATTTTTCCTGCTCGTCGATCATGGGCAAAAAAGCACTCCGGTCTCATGCTAGCATCATCGCCCCCTTCGATCAGGATTTCATTGATCAAAAGATCTTGTCTTACGAAGAGACTTGCTCTTTTGACAATGAAGACATCGAATCCTTGAAATAAAATGTGACTTTTCCTTCCGGTTCTATCTTTAAATCTTTTGACGCCCTGGTTTAGCCATATTTTGTCTCCCCTACATTTGCTTTCCTGAGTACCCCTTTTCTCTAGGTCTGACTTACCCATTTTCTGGCGTCGTCTCCAAATTCTTTGAGGTTACCCAAATTTCCTACATCCAAGTTATGCCAGTGATATGGAGGATTCTCTTCTGGGTTAATCGAATGAATCATTCTATGGATCCTGACATTGGCTTGTCCGAGTTAGCTCATATCTATGATCTTTCAACCTTTGGATCCTCTCGTTTCATGTTCAAGATCAAAACAAACAAATCACATTTTGAAATCGAAACAAAATGGCGATGCTTGGAAAGAAAAGTATTTCTTTGTGAGGTGTGATTCTATTCCCCACGGAGATCTCCTGTAAAAAACATGGGTTAAAAAGGGTAGGGTGTTAGCACTTTAGGTATGTTTACAATTAAATTACATTCGTCCTCTACTGCTAATAATTGGATACTTGAAACAAGATTTGGAACCCACATTTATTCTGATGTGCAGGAACTAAGATGAAGTATGAAGTTAAGGAATGGAGAGCTTGACTTGATCATGAGGAACAAGAGCAGAGTGGTTGTTGCCAAGATGGACATTACGAGCTTTCATTACCTTCTAGTTTTTAAATTGTTTTAATATATTTTTGTTATTTGCCTTACATGAATCGAAATATTGTTACATTTTATGCATTAAGATTGGATGGTTTTACTTTTGGATTTGATAATAATGATGCTTCTGTTTTGGTTTACAAAGATAATGCTTTTTATTTTAAAGGAAGTCTTTGCAATGACATATATGAATCTATGATTGGTGTAAGTACAAACAAAAACTTAATCTTAAATGTTGGTTCATCTTCTTTGGATAAATCATGTCTATGGCATTGTCATATTGGCCATATAAACAAGAAGATAATCACCAAGCTCTAATCGGATGGAATCTTGGAACCATTTAACTTAAAGTATAATGGAAATTATGAATCTTGTTTACTTAGGAAGATGACAAAGTCTCCTTTCACGGGTAACTATAAGAGAGGGACAAATCTATTGGACATCATCCTTTAAAATGTTTGTGGTCCTTTCAGACATATCACCAGACATGATGAGAGATACTTTATCACGTTTATTGATGATTTTAGTAGTATGCATATGTTTATTTGATTAAACATAAGTCCGAGACATTGAAAGTGTTCAAGAAATTACAAAGTGAAGTAGAGAACCAATTGTGAAAGAAAATCAAGATACTTCGTTCTGATAGGGGCGGAGAGTATCTTAGTGATGACTTTTACGACCATCTTAGAAGTTGTGGGATAGTCTCACAACTAGCTCCACTAATAACACCACAACCTAATGGTGTGTATGAAAGGATAAATCGATCCTTGCTTGACATGGTTCGTTCTATGATGACTTGTGCTACACTTCCAGTTAGTTTCTGAGGTTATGCTCTAGAAACGGTTG